CGTCGTCGTCGTTACCGTTAGGCTGTAATTACTTTCTCATTATATTTATAGTAATATTTTTGTCCCTGTTTTGTTTTGTAGCTGTTGTTGCTGCTGCTGTTTTGCTGTTGCTGGTAGACTCTACTATCGTTACCGTTGTATGAGTAGATAGTGCTATAATTCTTGTCGTCATGCCACAGCAACTCATCATAAGCCGAGACGAGGAGACTACGGGAGACAGGTTAACATTGTTTTAGTTTTAGTAGAGGTTTTACAGGGCTCGCAGTTGCAATAAGGTCATATGTGAGGCAGCGTGGTGGAATCAGGCTCTCGTCAATTTTTGGGCACATCGAGTTATTGGTATCATCTTAAAGCTTGTTCACTTGTCTTTTTTGGGGGGAGGAAAAAATATCCATTTATCTTGAATACAAGTCGAGATATTTGAAAATTAAGGAGGTGGGGGTCACCTGTTTTCAGAGGTAAAATTAGAGAGAAAATGGCCGCCAAAGATTAGTTATTTCCTTAGCTTAAGAGTCCGTGGTGACTGAAAATTTACATTTTTTGTGCCTTTAACCAACGTTTTTTCAGAAAAATCCACACAGAAATGAATTCTTTAATGGGCATGAAAGGTGTTGAGCCCAAAAACAAAAATTTGATCAAAAATTCACAAACCAGCGGAAAAATGCAAGTTTCTTCCCTCTGATTATTTTGACAAGAGCCTGATTCCATCACGCTGCCTCACATATGAGCGCGAGGTTAACATTGAGCTGAGCCAGGGGTACTGTACTCTGCTAACCATGACATGACATGTTCCCGCAGGGTCAGATCATGCCAGGTCATACTTTTAGTTCAGTTTTAGTAGAGGTTTTACGGCGCTCACTACTGCATAAGGTCATATGAGTGCCAGAAGATTAAAGGTGTTACAAGAGAGTAACAAACATAAAAAAAGAAGTAGGGGAGATAAGGACGATAGATGTTTGATAGGAAAAAAGAAGCAAACCACACCAGAGCACGCGCCAACCACCCACCAGGTCAAACTTTGAAGGAGAGACTCACTAGATAGGGGGGCAAAAACAAAGACGAATAGAATCTCAGAATATCGAACGGGGCCCGGGGAAGCTTTTTCGCCGTGGCTGACAATGGATAGAAACAGAGAGATAGATAACAATGGATAGAAACAGAGAGATAGATAACAATGGATAGAAACAGAGAGATAGATAACAATGGATAGAAACAGAGAGATAGATAACAATGGGTAGAAACAGAGAGATAGATAACAATGGGTAGAAACAGAGAGATAGATAACAATGGGTAGAA